TTCAAAGCAAATCAGACCGGACTCTAAAGAGTTTAACCTGGTGATAATCTCATACATTTGATCAGATCACAAACATTTCTTGTTAGAATTTGTACAGAAAACATTCTAATCTCCTTTGCCTTAATAATCAACATTTTGAGATTTCATTTATCGTTAGTGGTGCTTTCTAAGTCAAGCTTTACTATTGCTCATAGGTCGGGATTACTCATCCTGAAACGTTTATGCCATAAAAATGAATGATCGTGTGTCTATCATACTTATGATTTTTGCTAAAGCTAAAAAATTGCACTGGAGGATCCTCTAGAGACCAGATCATTTCAGAGACTTTCTAACCACCTAACAACCCAGCTAATTTCGAAACCTTTAAAAATGTCAATGGGTCACAAAGGCGATCTATTGAAGCTTGTTTCTACCATGCATGGAATAAAAAAATCTAAAAAAGGTAGTAGATAGAACAATAGAACGATATACAGAACTATAGAATGATATAAAATGACAGACAGACAGATAGATTAGATAGATCGATAGATAGATAGATGAGAGTGTGTTCGTTTGAGAGTAAGTGTGTTATTGGAAGTGCAAATGAAGAACAATATTCACAGAGAACTCAGCATCTCTTTCAATGAATATAGACTTCTCTGTCATTGAGACCTGAGCCATTCACAGTTCATTGATCTCCTGCTCAAAGCCTCACATCCCTCTATGAGTGGGGTATTACACACTTCTATTCATGTCTTTAGAGTTGCATTTTTACACCTCTCATAGGTATTTTGAAATGTCGAAAGTAAATCCCTTTCAGATATTCACAGCATTCAGCGTGGAAACATTTGCCCTTTTAATAAAAAGATAATAGAGTGATTTAGAACTAGATGTGTAAATTTGATTCGAGATAAAAAATAATAATAATATTTTTGATACACTGGGTCATGTGTTCACACACACAAATCGGTGTTTTGGAATCTTGATCTATGGAATCTTGTTTCCGCCATGAAATAAAAAATAAAAAAGGTAATTGCGACTTTTTATCTCATAGTTATGACTGTTCCCCCCTCACAATTCCAAGTTTATATCTCACAATTCGGAGAAAAGTGTCAAAATTGCTAGAAAAAAAAGTATTTGGAGTTTATCTCACTGTCTATCAATCAATCAATCTATCTATCTATCTATCTATCTATCTATCTATCTATCTATCTATCTATCTATCTATCTATCTATCTATCTATCTATCTATCTATCTATCTATCTATCTATCTATCTATCTATCTATCTATCTATAATCTATCTATCTATAATCTATCTATCTATCTATAATCTATCTATAATCTATCTATCTATAATCTATCTATCTATCTATCTATCTATCTATCTATCTATCTATCTATCTATCTATCTATCTATCTATCTATCTATCTATCTATCTATCTATCTATCTATCTATCTATCTATCTTTGCTTATGCTCATACACTGTTCTTAGCGACGTGAGGTGTAAATATTTGCTTTTGACAATGACTTGATTATGATTCTTTATGAAATTATGTAATGAATCATGTTCAGTTCATCTGGTTAAAATGTATTTGAATATTTTGGTATGATTCGTAATTGTTTTCAAAAATATGTTGAACACACAAATTGGAAAAAAAACTGGAGGGACAAATTACACTATAATGGAATATTAACACAAACAATACACCAGATTTTACATTCAAATGCCAATTATGTATTTTTATTCGTGTTTTGTATTGTTAATTATATATATTTTGAATATGAAATGAATATATAATACACTGGGTATTCTTACAAATAGGCTACTTGATATATCTCACTGAAGTCATTGTCAGGTCAACACATACAGTATTTTACACACCTAGAGTTGACTAGAAAAACACTCATGAAGAGATCTTGACTCTTGTCTATATTATGTACCACAAGCATTCTTTTCACTGTCATGTGATGTGTAAAACTCATCTGCGGGAGCTTACCGCGCACTTGCCAGAATACAGTTGCTTAATTCATTAAAATCTCAGAAGGCGAAAGACAAACTCGACAAAGACTGACATACCAAAGAAATCCTAAAAGTGAGTTGTGTGCATGCACTTATGCATTGTGCTTATCCATCACTGACAAGACAGATGTTATCACTTAACTTTGATCTATAATTCCATGAAGGATTGTCTCTCTCAACACTCTTCTAAAGCAGTGATGACCTGAAGATAAACAGTGTTATGAATCTGTTTATCTCATATATCATAGATTCATGTTTGATCAGCCAGGCCTGCTGGTTATTATACCATCTTTATGTAACTCTGAATGTTAATCAGGGAATCGTGCATTTCTCTTACACAGAACTTCAGATGTACCTTTGTGCATCCATGGGTATCCATGACAACAACAGGGGGGAGGGGTGAATTCAGACTAAAGGGCAAAACCAGAGGCCAAAGAAATTATAATGTTTAAAAGAGACACAAAATCCATCAACAGCTTTTCTGTCTACAAGATTATAGCTTAGAAAGCATCACAGAAAGATTAGACACGGCTGCTCTTTATCCAGGACATTACTAAACACTGCTCTCTCTCTGAAGCAGCCAATCAACGGCTGTGTCTGTTTATCACCTTGACCGACTGTTGCTGAAGATGCAAATGATGCCAATCTTTTTGTGAACTGCTAACAATGCACATATCACCTTCAAATCATGACAAAGGCTTTTTTCAAAATACGATGGATGGATGGATGGATAGATAGATAGACAGCATTAGTTAAAGTCACGAATGACTTGTTAATCGCTTCTGATTCTGGCTGTCTTTCTATTTTGATTCTTCTTGATGTCAGTGCCGCTTTCGACACTGTTGATCACTCAATTTTACTTGTTTAGTCTTTGGTGTTTCTGATACTGCATTAAGCTGGTCCTATTTTTCAGATCGGAAGCAGTTTGTCGCTATGGGTGGTTGCAGGTCTGATATTAGTGTGGTGAAGTCTGGTGTTCCTCAGGGATCAATCTTGGGTCCTTTGCTTTTTGGCATCTTCATCTTTCCTCTTGGTCAACTTTTAAGATCACTTGGTCTCAACTTTCACTTTTATGCAGATGACACCCAGGTTTATATACATTCAAAACTTGATGTTAATGTGCCTGTGTCTTTACTTTCTCAATGTATTTCTGAGATTAAAAAATGGATGTCTGTAAATTTAATTAACATAATTAACATAATATAAACATAATTTTTTCATCTTAAAAATATTGCCAGATTGTGTCCTATGTTGTCATTCCTGATGGCTAAAAGGTTATTAATATCTTTTTATTTTCCCGCATTTATTATTGCAATGCTTTGCTGGCCGGGGTTTCAAAAGCTACCCTAAATAAATTACAGTTGGTTCCAAATTCAGCCGCTCGAACCCTGTCTGGAAACAGGACAAGGGATCACGCCACTCCTGTCTTGGAGTCTTTACACTGGCTCCCTGTCAGATTCCGTGCTGATTTTAAAATTCTCATGCTTACATTTTTTTGGGCTTTGCGTGGATTGGCACCTCATTAGGCCTATCTCTCTGAGCTTTTAACCGCTTGCACACCAGTGCATGATCTCCGCTCCTCGGTGGCTGGCCTTTTAAATGTTCTGCTTATCTCTTAAAATCTATGGGTGATAGGGCTTTTTCATCAATTGCTCCAAAACTTTGGGATTTTCTTCCTGCTGAGATTAGGCAAGCATACCTTAGTGTTTTTAAATTGTCCCTTAAAGCTTATTTGTTTAGGGTAGGTTACCTTTTTCTGATTATTTTGAAAGTAGCCTATTATAGTTGTCTATTTACTTGTTGAACTTTTGATATTATGCTTTTATTTGGTATTTTTTCTTTGTCTGTATTTCACTTTCATTAATGTATTGTTTGTATAATTGTATGTTTTATTGGATCTTATTCTTGTGAAGCACTTTAAGATGCTACTTTTAAAGGCGCTATATACAATAAAGTTTATTATTATTATAGATAGATAGATAGATAGATAGATAGATAGATAGATAGATAGATAGATAGATAGAGATAGAAAGATAGATAGATAGATAGATAGATAGATAGATAGATAGATAGATAGATTATATTATAATTTCTGATTACTTTCAACCATCTTTGTGACTAAATCTTAATGATTTATGGCGGTTTCAGCTCACCTATAGTTCACAGCAGAATACTTGCAGAGTAACCACATGTTGTGTATTTCCTCACATTAACTGTGTCCACGTTATGTTTGTCTTCATTTTTGCAACAGTGCCCTCGTGTGGTGGATATGTGGCATTATACATTTTCAAAACGTAACTTTTTACAATTCATGTTGAACGCTATAGATCTCTGTGTATTAATATAACTGTATTTCCTATTCAATTAAGACAGGAGTAGATTACTGAACCGTAGGCTGAGGATTCTTACTTTGAATTAATGGATTTTATGTCTGTCCCTCCCGCATCAATTGCCATATAAGTCTCTGTTTGATAGAAAGCGCTAAACAGTGCTGACGTCAGAGAAGTGTGTAGCTCATCCTGTAATCTAGCCTGCCCACTCTCTTCCAGCGCCTTCACTACTTTTTAGCAACAGCGCAAAACCACCACAAGAGGGCGCAAAACTGAAATCCCTCAATGCTGAGCTCTTACCATAGGCTCTTACATATTATTTTCAAATAATTATTAGATTTTTAAATAACATTTATATTAATGAACTAATTTTAAATGAATATATATCAAATATATGTGCATTTTATAGAGGACTTTAAAAAAAAAAATTGTGTTGCAACTTCACAAAAGAACTATTTCGGAGTGTCCGTTATGTAAAATCGAATGTATTTATCACAGCTTGATTATTTCTGATATTGATTATTTGAAGAAAGACTATTATGTTATGTTATTGCCCCCCCCCCCCCCGCATTTGCAGAGTAACTGATTCATATAACCAATCAGAAATCTAGCCGAGCAGCACGTGATCTAACCCGGAAAAGCGAGCTGAGTGGATAGTCTGTTTTTCAGGAAAACATCTTTATCTTAGAGTGAAGGGAAAAAAGTGGAAAAGCAACAGATCTGAGGGGCGGTTTATGCTGTCGAATAAAATCTGAATCGTCTCTCAGGATAAGTCGTGCTGTAGGGGATGCTGGGGGTGGCAGAGATGACGGGCAGGTACGATGTTTGAAATAGATTTTTATTAAATAGTTTATAGATAAATCTTCCTCTCTAGCCAGAGATGCAGCTGATATCTAGTTTTATTGTTTACTTTATTACTTTTCTTCTTTCTTTTTTCCACCCTATCTCTTTAATTACCGTTAAACCATAAGTGTTAAATTTTTGTTTTATATAGAGAGAATAACTAAAATGGCATGGGTTGCTGGATAAGGGCGGATGCTAAGCTAATTAGCCTCCCTAGTTGAGTTTTTCTGGGGTAACGTTAGACACACACACACGCACACACACACACACACGCAGAGAGCTGGAAAGACATTAAACACACCACAAATGTTTAGACAAGCCCTGCCATACTGCAGTTAACTGTCTATATTATAGCCTACTTATATAAATACAAGTTAACAAATAACATGAATTTTATTTATTATTTATTTATTTAATAAAATGCATAGTATTTCTGGAACGCTGTTATGTGCTCCTTATCCTTCAAATGCTTTCTCAGATGTTTTGTGTAGTCTGTGCTTGTGACTTTTTGCTTTTCTGGAGACCAAATTCCCAAACATTCCTGATCTGGATGCCCCCACAGACTTATCAGGTCTTTTGGGAAAACATGGATATAATCTGCTTCCTGAGATGTTCCTGAGCGCCTTAAAAACTGACAATTATCATGTCTTAACAGTGTTAAGGGATGGAATTATTTACACATTAAATTGAAAGACATTTGTAATGTTGCAAAAGATCTATATATTTCAAATAAATGCTGTTCTTTTCAACTTTCTATTCATCAAAAACATTTATAACAGTTTACACAAATATATTGAGCAGCACAACTGTTTTCAACCTTGATAATAATAAGAAATGTTTCTTAAACAGAAAATTCAGCATATTAGAATGATTAGAAGGATCATGTGACACTGAAGACTGGGTCGAGTTATTTTAAATTGTAATAATATTATGCCACACACACTATATTCTTCCTAAATGCATGTTGGATAAGCTGGGAATGTGTCGTCATACTTCAAGAAAACACTAATGGCCATACATAAGTACACACACACACACACACACACACACATAGACAGACACAGATGGCACCGCTCCAGCTTCCTCACACAGTAGTGTGAGACCTCCACTGTTGTTCTGTGAGCTCTTCATATGATAAGACTTGACATTAAACGGTCTCCATCTCTTAAACACACACATGATCTATTTATACATCTACAGTGTGTTGGTACACAAGCAGATCTTTTCTTTTCAAATCACCATATAAGGGAATGTGTCTTTGGAATAGTAAGTCTGCTTTAACGCCATGAAGGGAGTGAGGGGAAGTTGTAAAGACAATCCATCGTCTAATAGCCACATGACCTGTGATGTCAGAGGAGAAATGTCTGGTGCAGGGAATCACTGAGTCATTTGGGATCTTGTCTGGCAGTGTGAACACAGGCCACGGCAGGCTAATTCTGTTTGTGTGATGTAAACATTGGTCGAAGTCTTACCCAGTCGCTCCTAAATGGTGTAACTTAATATCTTGCAAAGTGCCAGACAGGCTACTTCATGGGCTTTCTGTTTAGAGAAACATCATCTTGAATCACTCTCGAGAGCAGGATAGCAAATGACTATATGATACTGATACAGATGTAACGCAATTTAATCATATTAAAGACACCTGCAAAATTGAGGACATTTAATGCCAGCATTTATCAGCTAATTTACCTGGCCAATATATCAGTGAATGAATAAAGTAATATACAATTCCATTTAAACGTTTAGGGTCGGTAACATTTTAATAAATGTTTTTGAAAGTTTCTTGTGCTCACTAAGGCTGCATTTATTTGATCATAAACAGTAATATAGTGAAATATTTGTACAATTTAATGACACTTTTATATTTGAATATATTTTAAAATGTAATTTATTCCTGTGATGCAAAGCTGAATTCTCAGCATTATTACTCCAGTCTTCAGTGTCACATGATCCTGCAGAAATCATTCTAATATTCTGATTTGCTGCTCAAGAAACATTTCTTATTATTACGTTGAAAAAAAGTTTCTGCGTTTCTGTGAATTTTTTTTTTCATTTTTTTTTTCATGATTCAGATTAGAAATCTTTTGTAACATTATAAACGTCTATACTGTCACTTTGATCAATTTAATGCATTCTTGCTGAATAAAAGTAGACATTTCTTAAAAAAAAAAAAAAGATCTAAGTGACCCCAAACATTTTGTAGTAGTGTGATCCTTGCATATACATTTTGTTTGGTACCATAGATAAATCAAAGCTGTTCATAGAAGCTGCTGACTGTTTCTCCTGACGTTGATCTGTTTCTGACAGCAACATGGCCAATGCCCTGGCAAACGCCTCGTGCGAACGGTGTAAAAGCGGCTTTGCCCCGGCGGAGAAAATTGTCAACAGCAATGGCGAGCTGTATCACGAACAGTGCTTCGTCTGCGCCCAGTGTTTCCAGCAGTTTCCTGAAGGACTCTTTTACGAGGTACTTACTTGCATTAAACCTGTCATGTAGCATTTCATCTTGAAGCTACTGGTTAAAGCGGTGATATTCTACATTTCTTTTGTTTTTTATTCAATTATAGAAAGTCCCTTAGGTCCAATTATAATGTTAGATTTGTTGTATAATGTTGTTTTGTGGAAACAAACAGATATAATATTTATTATAAAAAATTAGGGCTGTCAAATGATTAATCACGATTAATCACATCCAAAATAAAAGTTTTTTTTACATAATATATGTGGGTGCACTGTGTATAATTATTTTGTATATATATACTGTAAATACACACACATGCATGTATATTTAAGAAAAAAATATAATTTATATATAAAATATTTATATTTATATATAATATAAATTATATATAAATCTATATACAGTATATACATGAAAATATTTCTTAAATATATTCAAGCATGTGTGTGTATTTATATATATATAATAATTATACACAATGCACCCACATATATTATGTAAAAAAAACTTTTATTTTGGATGTGATTAATCACAATTAATCATTTGACAGCCCTATAAAAAATTATATATATATAGGCTATAAATTATTCTAAAAACTTGTTTCCACCCTTTCTCTGATCCTTAAAATTACATTTAAATTCAGTAAATAATATTTTGGACTGGGTGAAGTGTTGAGATCTTGAAGTTACAGTATGTTTTTTCTACAAGTAGAATTAAAAATTTGCAATTGATTGACTTTGAGACATATTCCCACCGGAGCCGATGTTATGTTTAATTTTCTCTCTCTTTTGTCCATAGTTTGAGGGAAGGAAATACTGTGAGCATGATTTCCAGATGTTGTTTGCTCCCTGTTGTCACCAGTGTGGTAAGAGATGCACATGCATAAACACACGAACAGGTGATGTTATTGACTGTGCTAATTGTGAATTGTGTCCCTCATATTCCCACAGGAGAGTTTATAATTGGGCGTGTGATTAAGGCCATGAATAACAGCTGGCACCCTGACTGTTTCTGCTGTGATATCTGCCAAGCCGTGCTCGCCGATGTTGGATTCGTCAAGAACGCCGGCCGGTGAGTTTATAGCCAATGAAGGGTGACCGTGAGCATGTGATTGACAGGCTCCATACGTTAGGTTTGATGTGAAAGCTGGTCTAGTATCAGCCCACTGATGAAATTATGGTTTCATTAAAGGAGTAGTTCACTTCAAAATAAATTCGGTCATCATTTACTCACCCTCAAGTTGTTTCAAACCTGTATGGATTTCTTTCTTCTGCTCAACACAAACGAAGATATTTTGAAGAATGTCGGTAACCAGACAGTTGACATTTTTTTTTATGGAAGTCAATGTGGTCCATCAACTGTTACCGACATTCTGCAAAATATCTTCTTTTGTGTTCAGCAGAAGAAAGAAATTCATACAGGTTTGAAACAACTTGAGGGTGAGTAAATGATTACAGAATTTATTTAGAAGTGAACTACTCCTTTAATGAAATATCTTTATTCTCATGAGCAGTTCTGTTTCTTTAATACACGATTTTTTAGTCCTATCAGCCATAATCATCCCTTTGAGATGTTCTTTAGCTGATTGTGTATGGGGCCAAATTGATACATGTAAATAGAAATAAACAGAAAGTTGCCATCCGTGTGTTCTGATTGGCTGATGTGCATGTCTGTGTTTTCCAGCCATCTCTGCCGTCCGTGTCATAACCGCGAGAAAGCTCGGGGCCTCGGGAAGTACATCTGTCAGAAGTGTCACGCCATCATTGAGGAACAGCCCCTCATTTTCAAAAATGACCCCTACCATCCCGATCACTTCAACTGCAGCAACTGCGGGTCAGTACGGCACCAAGTGATTCCTCTGCTGTGTCCATTTACTGAGAGTGATGTGATCTGGAGGTTGTATGTTTTACAGTAAGGAGCTGACTGCGGATGCTCGCGAGCTGAAAGGTGAACTCTACTGCCTCCCCTGCCATGATAAGATGGGTGTGCCGATCTGCGGAGCATGCAGGCGTCCAATCGAGGGCCGTGTGGTCAATGCCATGGGCAAACAGTGGCACGTCGAGGTTTGTGTGCTTTCTTTTTTTATTTTAAGCAAATAAAGTGTTCAACACAGTGACTAATTTCTAGTACAATTCATGTATATAGCTGAATATGTTTTTAATCCGGGATGCTAGTTAATAAACAAAATAAAACGAAAAACTGTTTCGGGTCGAAATGCCAGCCTTGGCAGGGTATCAATGCAAACATCATAAGTAATGTCTTAAAGGGATACTCCACTTTTTTTGGAAATAGGCTTATTTTACAACTCCCCCAGAGTTGAACTGTTTAGTTTTACCGTTTTTGAATCCATTCAGCCGATCTCCGGTTCTGGCGGTACCACTTTTAGCATAGCTTAGCATACATCATTGAAGTGGACAAGTCCATTAGCATTTAAAAAAAAAAGTGACTAAGTGCCTGCGCCTGCTGCACTCATGGCACGGCAGTAAAGTTTCTTGATTATTACACAGGAATGAGAGTATAGTTCCTAGCCATATCAGCCTAGAAAATCGCAACTTTACATTTTCCGTCGGTCTTAGTGCACGGTGTAACTACAGAAGAGTCAAGTTTTAAATAGGAAAAATATCGAAACTCTTTGGTCATTTTTTTTTTTGAGAAATGCTAATGGTCTTGTCCACTTCAATGATGTATGCTAAGCTATGCTAAAAGTGGTACCGCCAGAACCGGAGATCGGCTGAATGGATTAAAAAACGGTAAAACTCAACAGTTTAACTCTGGGGGAGTTGTAAAATGAGCCTATTTCCAAAAAAAGTGGAGTATCCCTTTAAATGTATGTAAGCGGATCTGGGCATGGGATATCGGGTGTCCATGTCGGGCTTTCTTGCCTGCCACATATGATATATGTAATATAAATCAAACAATTATACAGTAGAAAAGGAGAAGCACACAGTCAAACTGCAAAATGCATCAGATCGATATTAATGTATTTTATATAATAATCATGTAGTAAAATTAGTTTTATTAGTGATATTTCAGTTTCTGGAAATACTTCAACACTGTAATAAGCTTCAAGCTGCTTTTATTTAATTTGTTCTATTTCTTTGTTCTGTTTGTTTTATTTGTTCTATTGCTTGTGATTTGTTTATTACTGACTGTTTACTTGAATAATTGCTTGAAAAAATAGAGAAAATGTAGGCTTCATGTTGTTGTCATATTTAATTTGAATATTTTTTAATTTTTCTTAATTGTTTATTTAAAGGAGTGTGTTTAAAAAAGCGATTAGCATATTATTTTTGACTCCTGAAATGTTAGCAATTGTGACAACCCTATACTGAATTGAATAATATCTATTTAATTTTGACCAATTAAGACAATATTATACCAATCTTTTTTTTCAATGTGCGTGTGCATGAGGTGTCCTCTGTCTGATTCGATTGGATGATTTGCTTCTGACACTGAATTTGTCACATTAGATCTCTTCCTTTATCATACACTGCTGTTCAACAGTTAGGGGTCAGTACGATTTAAAAAAAAAAAAGAGAAGATATTAATACTTTTATTCAGCAAGGATGTGCTAAATTGATCAAAAATGACATCTATGATGTTACAAATGTTTCAAAAAGGATTTCTGAAGGATCATGTGAAACTGAAGACTGTAGTAATGATGCTGAAAATTCAGCTTTCAAATTTATTACAACAAATATTTTACAGTATCACTGTTTTATATTTTATACGACTTATATTTATATGTATATTTTATTAAATAAAATCAGCATTGGTGAGCAGAAGACTTCTTTCAAAAACATTTACCTTACCCCAAACTTTTGAATGGTAGTTTATATTTGAACTTCATAATGACAGCTTGTATATTTGTGTATGTTTGCAGCATTTTGTCTGTGCCAAATGCGAGAAACCTTTCCTGGGACACCGTCATTACGAGAGAAAAGGTCTTGCTTACTGCGAGACTCACTACAACCAGGTAACGCAGGCCTGACTCCTCTTTCAAGGCCTCTTTTCATCCCCCCCCCAAATAATCTTTTATTTATAAACATTATGGATAATGAAACTTTTAGCTTTTAATGCGAGTGTCTGTTATGTCTGTTGTGCAGCTCTTTGGTGATGTTTGTTACCATTGCAACCGTGTGATCGAAGGAGACGGTAATTGCTGTTTACTTGAACATGATATTGATATTTTAGTTCTCAACCTTTAAAGCTTCAGTATTTATATAATAGCAAAAACTAATAATGCTTTGGAGTACAGCTGTTGTGGCTACGGGTACTGCTGTTGTGAGTTGTTAAGATGCTTTTGTGTTTTCTCTCAGTGGTGTCGGCTCTGAATAAGGCTTGGTGTGTGAATTGCTTCTCGTGCTCGACCTGTAACACCAAGCTCACTCTCAAGTAAGTTTTACACACACATACTCATCCTTTATCACAATCTACCCCACTTTCCTTTTTCTGTTTGTGGCTTTTCGCTAGCCCTGTATGAATTTGTTCAGAAGTGTCTTTAAATTGGGTCTCCCGGGTGCTGTGAAGTTCTTTGGATCATATCTAACCTTTCTGTCCTGCTAACTCTTGTGTTCTCTACTTCTGTCCCCTTCAATTCTCTCCTCCGCTCTCAAAATGCTCCCACATTCCATTTCTGTTCCTCTCTCCCACTTCAAACCCAATTTTCCATCCAATTTCCCCTCCTTTTCGCTTGTTTCTCCTCTTTCGCCCTTCATTGTCCCTGACGGTGGCCCTGCAGGGACAGATTTGTGGAGGTGGACCTGAAGCCAGTGTGTAAACACTGTTACGAACGCCTGCCGGAAGAGCTGAAACGGCGCTTGGCGAAACGTGAACGCGACTCTCGCGAACGCCGAAAGAAAGCCATCGCCGTCTGTCTGTAACCCTTTTCTCTCTTTTTCCTTCTTCATGCTCATCTCTTCACTCGTTCTTTATCATTGGTTAGTAGGGATGGACTGTAGGGATCCGGTAGGGATGGACATGTCAGTCATTGGCTGATACTATTTTTCTTAAGAGCATCTGTCAGTATTGGATATTTAATTGTGCATGCATATTTTTAATTTTTCACCCTAATTCTGATGGAAAATGTACCTATACTGTCATATACTGCTGCTCATTTAAATAATACTTAATAACACTGAAATGTAATCTTCAGCAAACTTCAAAATTTATATACATTTTTCATTCTGTATGTTTCATTCTAAAATGTGATGCCTAACATCAATGATTTTATTGTTTTATTAATGTTTTATTTTTTAATTTATTAGATTTTTAATACATTTTCATATTTAGTGGTTATCAGCCATAACATCAAAATAATTATCCGTGTCAACCAGAATTTGAATACCGGTGCATCCCTGTTTTCCATTGTTCATTTGTCAATTCAACATTATCATATTTTTGATATTCATCATCATATTGATGTTTTTTTTCCCCCCATTTTCTGGTCATTCATTGCCCTCAAAGTTTTTACTAAAAATCCGCACATATAATACAGATGAATTTATGCAACCGCTGAAACAGCATATCATGTATATAACAGTCATAACAATGTTATTTATTATCGTACTGTATAATAGTATTGTTTATATTCTATCATATGGTTTAATATTTTGAATGATTATTTTTAATAGTTTTAGTTAACAACAAAAAACACATAAAGAGCAGTAGAGAGAGTAAGTAAATGAAATGGGTTGCATACTTTCATAACGTATGTGTCTGGTCTAAACGTGTTCAAAAGCACATTCCTAAAAACAAGATTTGTGTTTTTAGGAACAAGTTTGTGGAGTTTGACATGAAGCCAGTGTGTAAGAAATGTTACGAGAAGTTTCCTCTGGAGCTGAAGAAGAGGCTCAAGAAGCTTGCAGAGACCTTGGGCCGCAAGTAGATCTCCTCGCCATCTTTGGTGCTTTAAGAATGAATGGAGACCAAACTAAATCTGGACCGCATTTCATTTCGGATTAGTTTTCACTTGTGTCTTACTTTTATCGTTCTTAAAAGTTTTTCCATGATTGAAAGTAGCCAGCAGATTTTCTTTGGTCTCGTTCCAACAGATTGTTCTTGTGTCTTAACACAATGCAACCAAAACCAAATACTTTTATAATGTTTATTGATATATATATATGTACTCGCATGTTTATGAAGATAATGCAAGTTGTAGTCCCACTGTTCAGAGCATGTTTTTGACATTTGTTGCCTCGTATGCAATGCCACAGAACTTTTTCTCAAGGCTGAAACCCTTCCTGTGTCTGACCCTATTGATCTAAGAGTTGTATTTGATATTTAATGTATGCTCAAGCCTCACATATTTCTGTCAGACGGGATCAAAAGTTAATGCATGATGTAATGAGTCTGGAGGAACACGACAACCTCTAAACCAAACTCTTCGCTCGACTGAACAAAGCGCTCGGGCTGTGTAATCTCCTTCTCAACTTAAATGATCTTGCTTTATTAAAGCCCTTGCTGTGTTCTCGAAATATGCAATAAATGACACCACTTATATTTCTTCTAAGAGGTTTACGAACTGTTGACTGTCGCGCATCATAACATCCTTGTCTTTCATTTCGTTTTATAAGTTTAGTTTTATGACACGCCTGCCTTATTTTTCTGGAGAAAAAAATGCCTTTTATAATCTTCAAATATAATGAACTTACATTGACAGAATCGACTGAACTTAAACATGATTTGACTGTCCTTGTAACGGTTGATTTCATCATCTATTTTTAAGTATGAAAGACATTTAAAAAAAAACTCACTCCATTTCTACTCTATACATTATATTTTGTGTGTTTGATTGTGCATTTAGCTACAGTATGTGCTGATTTTATTTGTTACATTTTTTCCTTTTATTACAGTCAGACATTTCATTTTAATTTAAAGTAATATTTAGACCCATAGCAAAACTAGTTTATGCATTCACAGAATGACGCATTTTGGCAAAATATGTATTAATATGCTTGTTGGCAGCTTTTAAATAAATTTCACTATGTTCTGTACGAAATATATTAATAAAGTATGCACTATTTCTGATTTCATATTTTTTTTTGTAATGGAGTTTTTAATCTCTGTTATACAAGATATATGTATTTAATCAGCCTTCAGATGCATTTACATTTAACGATCCATAAAATATTGGTATCTTGCAGTCCAATAAAATGCAATGCAATCTGAACTGCATCGAAAGAGGGACCAAAACATTATTCAATACAGAATTACAAAGATAATCAAATGAGAATGAGTTTAGATTTGGAATGACAAGGGCTAAATGATGACCAGTGTTGGGTGTAATGCTTTAGTCAGTAATTAATTAGAAAAAGTTGAAAAGTAAAGTGGGGATTACTCTTATTTTTTCTGGAATTTAATTAGTTACGCCTGATGTAATTTAATTAAATACTGTCTAGATTACTGAACTATTCCATTTAAAAACATTTTAGGATTTAACATCAAATTTAAACGTCAAATGTTAAAATGTATGTTTTAATGTAACCTCCCTTAGGTCAGTTCAAGAATAATTTATGCAATTTTATATTATTTATTTGAAAGAATTAAGAGCAGTTTCATGTCTATCCTTTTATTGTTCATCGGGTCGAGGTTGATATGGAATTAATGCAATACATTTTAGAGAGAGTAATTAGCACACTAATCAAATTTTTTAGAGGAACTTACCCAACATGGATAATGACTAATTTGTCACCTTTATGTGAATTATTCTTTGAAGGTGATGTATGTAATATACAATGTTCTTTAGGAAAATGTCAACAGGTGGCGCTGTTACACAAGAGCTGAAACTTATAGATGAGTCTTCAATAAAAGTTGCATTTCGTTTGAAAAGAGACTTTCAGTCGGAGTCCTCATTTTAAGTACTCTGTCTCTTCCTCTAGTTTCCCTTTAGAATTAAAGCTGAGGTGCAACATGGATTAATTGTTCAAAAGATTTGGAGAAAAGAGAAGCAACACAATAAGAGTTCTGGGTAGGCTACTATTGGGTGGATTGGATTGAATAAACAACTTCTCAATATCACTGAACAGATTCTCCGTTTTACCGTCTAAAACTGCTTCTAATCACGAATAAAACAATACCTCTGATTCTATTACTGTTGCTCAATAGCAGAAGTGAGAACAGTAGAAAAATATTTTCTGGGTGTCGCCTCGCCTCTGTCATCATTTACAATGGCAGTAATTTACATTCAGCGGCGCTAATTTCTGTGCTCTCGAGGGCTGCAGCAATTCGTCTTTTCCCTGCGAGCATCTCCTCCTCTGTGGAATCTTTTCAAATGAAAGGAGAGAAGGAAATGACAAAGAACAATAAGAGGCATTCAGAAAGTTCTCAAAGAGAGCAATTGAAGAGGGTGGATTTGACTAGTTAGTTCCCTCAGAAATAATCTTCAACAATGCATGACGTCACGGGCTCGGCTGTAACCTCCGCGAACATTGTCATCCGCACTATTCGGATAATAGGTGTGTGTGTGTGTGTGTGTGTGTGTGTGGCCTGGTAAACCCTACATTATGGGGACAAAATGTCGTCACAAAGATGGCAATATCCGAAACCCTTGTCCTTATGGGAACATTTTTTGGTTCCCATGAGGAAAACAGCTATAATCATACTAGGTGATGTTTTTTGAAAATGCATAAAGTTTTCTGTGATGGGCAGGGTATAGGGGGATAGAATTTAAGAGTTAATTAAGAGTTATATAATTATATATTTTCTCATAGGCTATATATATATATAGGCATATAGCCTATGAGAAAATATAGGCAGTATATAGGCATATGTAGCCTATATGAGTAAATATATAAATATATATAGCCTATATAAATAATATAATTATCAACTTTTTATTTTATCTTTTTATTTTCAATTCTATAATTACATTTGGGCCCTTCAACCATGTGGTTACATCCTTATGTTATGGTAATGTTTCTCTTCACAGAGCGGCCTTTTAATAAACATCTTTAATTTTTATATAGACGTGCTGGGCCTAATAGACTTTACTGTCCCTGTTCATTGATTATGTTGTGCCTTAATGAAAGCACCATAAAAAAAATCTTAAGTACATTTTTTGAAATATAGGCTATGATACGGCTAGCTGGAGGCCAGAATTGTATAGTGTCTTCTAATTAAGGATTTACATCAAAAAGGATATTTGTTCTGGAGCCTGCAGTGCATTTGGTTTGATGATTATGGTGTATGAAAATCATGCTGTGCCCAGAGGCCGATTCTAGTGTGAATAAGAAAATATAGAGCTTGTGTCCATAAGAGTAGCCATCTTTAATTATTCATGCCGAGTCGGAATAGTCGTACTTGCTAGACTTTGTTATTCACCGATAGGATGCATTGATTGACTACCGTAGATGTTTGGTTCTCCTGCACGTGTTGGATCAATTTGTGTGTGTATGAGAAAGAAAGAAGGTTAAAAAAGAGAGACAGAATGATGGAAACAGTGAGGTTCAGGACTGCGGGGAGTTATGGCAAAGGACTGAAAATCTATCATGGTGACAGTATGCATGGAAAACGTCAATATGTGTCACACACAGAAAACCTTCCGGGTGGATAAAGGAAAGCGACAAGCGCCGAGCCGGGGATCTGTGTGTGGAAACACAGGTGCAGTCGTGCTTATCGGGTTTCTGGATGTCCAAACATAGCCTGGTTCCTTTTTTTGATTAATATTATCGATCCGGCGAGGAAAATTACGGTAGCCCACTCATCCGATATAAACATGGCTCCTCCTCTGAGCCGATATCAAAGTTGCTTTTCTCTTCACTAAAGTTTAGAGAGGGAAACGTCTGAAGTGCAGCCAGGATGTGTGTGCTCGCATTAATGACATCTCTTCTATATATGCTCCAGCTTATGTGACCGAGAAGTGTTCTCCACATCTTCTACTTGTCAAATCTTCAACTTTTTGTCTCCTTAATTAGCATATTGAGAGGAGTACCATCATGGCAGGTGCTGAGCTGCTGGTTGCTGGTTTATGATTGTGAACTTACTTTCTCAAGTGGAGAATTTCGGTTGCAACCAGACATCTTCGTCGCAAGCTATTAAGCTAAAGAGGAAGCAGGATTTCAGAGTTGTATAATTGACATAATTATCCATGAATAATTCGATTCTTTGTGCCAACACTATTTCTAGACGTTGCTTCTTTTCTACGTCCCATCAGGCCAGATCTCTCTCTCTCTCTGAAGATGAAGCCAACTGAATCTAAATGGGACGCATGTTTTATTCAGGAGAAAAGTGATATCGTGGCTTGTGCATCGGGGGGGGAGTGTGCTTGAGTGTTTTTGTTTGGGCTGGTGTTTGATTGGAAGTCACTAGTGAAGTGAAATTACTTTACCTATTGATTTTTTCTGGCTCATTTTCTTACGATTTAGGAACACGGCCGAAGGAAAATGCTTTTACGGGTATCTTAGTTAAGAATGCCATTAAATCTACAGCATGTAATGAACCTCTGAAATGTGAGGGGTGAATTAGATGTTGTGAGTTTGAGATGCTAGTGTTTAACTGCATCATTCATCAGTGTGATAGCAAGTTTTATTCAGTTTTGGGCAAATTTTTTGTGAGGAAGCTCCTGTGGTAAAACATGTTTCCTATACCAAGAAGTCATCTGGGAGGTAAATGTCCTCTAGTTGTTTTGTAATTTAAAGCATTGCATTGAAATCTCATGGAAATCCCCAAGACCTTGGCATTAGCAACAAACAACCAATCATTAAAATGTATAAATGTATGTGCTATGTTTAGTTTTTAGCATGAGGGAAGAATCAATCAATCAATCAAGTAAAAAAAAACTACACACGACATGAGTTGTGATTGACACAAATTCATTTAGATGAGATGAGATTAGATTAGATAGAACTGTATTGATCCCAGATTGATTCCACTCTTGTATTGTATTGATCCCAGATTGATCCCACTCTTATATGTCATGGACTTCTGAAGCTTTGTTTGGTCACGTGCTTTTACACAACGTATATCCTCTGCTCCGCGATAATTTGTTATATGGAGAAAACAATTCTGACCACCAGATGTCGCTAATGCGCATTGTGTTAATAGCTTCGAGTAATGAACCGTTTTTCGGCACAATTTGAGGAAAGCCTCGGTTTCCCATCACTACCTGTTATATGGTAGATAGTGAACCCAGATGAAATGAAATAAATCAAGTTTAATAATGAAACCAGGAATCATTATAGACAGTAAACAGAAAAGGTAATCCAAATGTCTTGATGAAGATGATGATGA